GGGCTGGAAGGTGACCCCCCCCCCACCCTGTGCAAGCATAATATGAGGTACATGCTTTGGTCAGTGGAGAGAGCACTGATATTGCTTTGAAGATGCTTCATATTGTTTCTGTATAATGTACAATAATAAGTGTATAATAACATACTTGTAATGTGATAGAATGCTCTCACTTCTAAGGGTTTTAAAGATCTTATATTAGTATGTATTACTTAATTGACTGTCATAAGCTACTCACTTTTACTACGGTAATGCAGACTGAATTAATAAACTTGAACTCAAAACACAATTATGGTTGAAATGGCTAACCTGTATAATGCATTGAAACATAACCTTTAGTATTAGGATAACATGTTCTAACACAAATACTTCATGTAAAGATAACCGAAGGAAAAAAGAGAATTAACAGAAGCCAACAAAACCACTAGGTCTACCACAATGCTGCACTATTTATATTATTCATAACTCTGAGTTCCTGCTGTTTATTAAAACTGAACTGAATTTGACAACTGAAAAGACATTCATCATATTTGAAAACTGACAGTCACATCAGTCAGTAAAGCATTGTGTAACTAAACTACTGGAGTTTGTTTAATTTTAGACCATTATCGGCCACAAGATTTACTGAACGTTTGAGATGGTGCTAATGTATTTTGAGTGTGCAAAAGCACTTGCTTCTGTTTTATCATTGTGTGCACAGAAGCCTTTTGCATGTGCACTGATGGTTGTCACTAAGCTGCAGGTTTTAGCACCCCGGCCTTCATGAACATGCCTTTTAAAGTGTTTGAGACATTGTTGAGACACAAAATAGGGGAGAAGATAAAAATGATCAACCTGCATGATTTACTAATGTAATCTTATGTTACTAATGTAATTGGAAATAACTTTGAAAATGGAGACAAGATGATTTGCTTCTCTTCTCGTGTTACTAATTCTACTCATTTCTTTGAATTTCATCCATTTTCACTAGTTTATCTGTTTTCTTTTTTGTTTTTTTCACTTTCACTATGGGCTAAGTGTTACCTCTTCCCATACAAAAAATATGAAATGTAGGAGATGCCTTTAATAATGTATGAAATTGGCCAAGTTGTTAATTCACTGATGTTTTGGTAGGTTTCATTTTATTTACTTCATAGTGATTTCCCAAACTGCTTCTCTTTTAGCAGCTGGAGGTTCCAGATATTCAGGGGAGAATTTCATCTTTGAAAGTTGATTAAAACGCCCTCTGTGATCTTCATTTTAGTGCCTCCGAAATTCAGATAAACCAGTTTACATTTTTTAAATAGTGGTAAATGTGGCCCATTATCAGTTATCAGAATTTTTTCTCTCCTCACCTTCTGTATTGGTATCAGTGACATAATTTTCATAGTGTGTGTGTGTGTGTGTGTGTGTGTATGTGTGTGTGTGTGTGTGTGTGTGGCCTAGTTAAAGAATCTAAAATCTACTGGGATATGAATACCTTGTAGTACTGTTATTGAGAGGGTAAGTGACTCAATGCATTCTCTTATATAAAAAAGATACTAAACCATCACGAGAGTGGTACCCCTCTTATCACTGGCGTGGTAGTGTCAGGGAGCATATATTCATTTTATTGTTCCGTTTTTTAACATTAAGTTATGTAAAGATACAAATATGTACCTTTCTTCTGGGAAAAACCTATTTAAGGTACACAATTGGGCCTTAAAACCACTGTTGTACCTTTGAAGGTACATTTACACTACACTGCACATTTACACAGCATGTTGTTTATATAATAATTGTGTCTAAACTTGAAACCTGTGGGGAATTTATCAAACATGCAGATTCAAAACTTTTATTTAATACCATATTTGGGTTTGTAAGTAGAAAAGGAGACATTTCACAATGATTTGAATCTGATGAAATGTTACTGTTGTATATACAGTCTTGTTTTGCAGAAAGAAAATAAATGTTTTTGCCGTGTTTTTGAAATTAGAACAAACAGTAGTGCAGACATGAACCTGTCAGAATGTAAAATGTTCATTATTGAATTACATTAGTCTGATTATGTAATACATGTCAAATGTATTGCAAAAATATATAGTCTAGCAAAAAAAAAATATTCTAGCAAAAAAAAAAACAGTAACTCAGGCTTTCTAAGGTTTAACTCTAAGAGCTCACTTTCCAACTGTGACCCTCTGTCAGTATTTGTCTCAAAAAGCACCTTCAGTTTTCTAAATTCATTAGTTGAGATGCAATGAATGAATATTGACAGAGGCAGCAAAGAGTTGTGGTTAATTATACAGACTATGTTTTAGTAAGAGTTTTGGTGTGTATATGGATTTTATGTGTATAGGATACGTTCTCATGTGCCAGCTTTCATGAGTGTGATTTATTGATCAACTCTTGTGTAAAATGCCTCTCTAAGTTGGCTTGTCTGAATGAATTCACTACGTTTAGGTGACTGCTGCCGCAAATCGCAGCCAACTGTCACAGCATCTCAAATTCATCCTGGTCACTGTATGTTTCAGGCATGCACTCTGAATTGTCTGGCACATATGCAGTAATGTGCAGCAGTGCTTAGCCACACAGCTAAGCATATTTTCATAATTTTTGGCACCAAAATAAATGGTAGTGCGATCTTGAATCTGTCTGTTCTTTCAATCGAGCATCCCTGGTTTGTACAGAATGTAAAGGTAATTCATTGTGTAACTGTGTAATTAATTGTATTTAAATAATTATATAGCATATCGCTGTTGCTGGAAGAAAACCTTGTATCTCCATTTTTTTAACGTTTTCCAGTTTTTGACATAATTTGCAAAAAATACCTGTCGCCCTTTGCATGTAAATTTCATGATGAATGGACTAAAAGAAACGGCCTAAAATTACTTGGTAAAACGTCTGGTTCCATTGACTTACGTTAAAAGTAAACTAGGTATTTTCCTTTTCCTGTAAAGTTACCATTTTGGAGATACAAGGTTTTCTTCCGACAACAGCGATATGTTGAATGTAGCAAAACAGCAGTTATACAAAAAGCTTAAGGCAACTTTTTTTTTATCTGGGTCCACATTACATGGTTATTAGCCAACTATACTACAAAGCATTGACTGGCTTGTCTGCCAGCCAAAGCAGGCCATTCAGTAACTTTATATGAGAATGCCTATTGTGGTTATTCTGTTCATAAAGTTAAAATCTCTTCCATACGAGTGACAGTGTTTAGAAAGGTCTGCTTAATGTTTGCAGGTATTCCCATAACACATAATAGCCCATCCAGTCTCATTATGAACTGCATGCAGTGCATTTCTGAATCCTCCTCTTCTAAACCCTTTGTCTAAAATAGGGTGCACTTACAGGCCGAAGCCCACTCCACATGAACTCATGTACTTCAAAACAACGTTCAGGCCTGATGAATCACTCTGTGATTTAATGGAAAGTTTGAGGGAGAGTAACGAGCGCCCAGATATGGACGGGCTCAATGGGACTCGTGTAATCTCCCGGGTGGCATCCAGCGCTGACCCACTGTCTCCGTTTTTGATAGCATATTAGCGAGGATTTGTGCCCCAGATGTCTGTCGCTTCTGATGTGATGGCTGCCAGTTCAGGGACAGCTGGTTTTGGTTGCGCTGCTCGAGTCCTATATTTAGTAAATCCACCATTTTTTTTCTTCTTCTGTGTAAATGATTATAGTATAGTAAAGGCTTTCTGTTTCTTTTTGGTTGATTCAGGGAGGCAGGGAAATACTGCTGTTAGCATTAAAATGTTTAAAATAACAGGGTGGTGGTGGGTTTGTTTGCTTATTTCTTGTCAGAATAATGAAGATGTGAGGGAACAGATGTAGGGGGAGTGTGTGCTTTAAAATAAAAAGGATAATGAACATGCGGTTTATTTATTTATTTATTTTTTTAATTTTTTTTTTTTTGGTCCGGTGTCAGTGGTCTAGGATGGACGGAAGCAGGGGGAGGGCGAGAAACTGTGGCTTTTGTGTTTGCTTCACTGGTATCTCTTAGAATGTGCAATCCAGTCTGCGTATGCCATCTTAAAAACAAGTGTAAAATAAGTGTGGTTTTTCTCTGTATGTATGTATGTATATATTCTTTCTTCTGCATTTTTGATGGAAACTAGTTGTCCGCTCTTGTTCTGCTCCCAGCTCTTCATTGGTTAGAATGTGCCACCTGGTGGTTGAAACAGAAATCAAAAGTCCCCTCAAATGGTCTCCTTTGCTTACCCTCTTCAATATTAAATATCCGATACTTAATTTTTAGTACTTTAGATCATTCGCATATTTGTGTTTTTTATTTCGTATTTGTTACTTTATCAGTGTTTGAATTGATTAAATGGTTAAATGAGATGAAATATCTGTGTGCTTTGATGCTGTGAGACTGAAGTGTAGTTTATTTGAGAACAGGAGATGGCAGCAGAGGTTCAGTGGTAGCATGAAACTGTTGCTTTCTTAATGAGGTGGAGGGACCAAAAAGTGGTGCTGTTTTAGTCTGTATGCGCGTCAGCTCATGTCACACTAGAGCCTTATTTTGGTTTATTAGTTATTAAATGATGGTATAAATGAAATCTGCCTTTGTTATATAAATTGTAGTAAAATCATTCACTCAAATGACAGAAATAAGCATCAGATAACAACAAAGTCAAAGCTAAAGTTAGCAAGATAGCTGGCCTGTTACCTTATCTCAGTTTGAAGCACCGTTTTCTTTATGATTTTGATCAACAACCAATGCATAAGTTACACTAATGCTTGCTTGATTGTATTTACTAGCCTGTAAATAAGTGGCTAGTCAGGATTGGTTGGCACCACAGAGATTCCCAGTGTTTGTATGATGTATTTGCATAGGGCCTGCTGGGTGTTCTAGTGAGAAAACACTGATAAATGAAAACTAAAAATGAAAATAAAATTGTTTTGTGTCAAACTCTTGAGGCTGGGCAGTATAATGTGCTACAGAATAACACAACAAAAACACCTCTAGTGTCAGACCTGAATTCCCTTTTAAATCTATTATTGTAATCGGTGTCATTTCTGTCTGTGTCCTATGGCAGGTATACTGTTCTCCACCATGGTGTTCGGACCTGCCTGTGGCTTCATCCTCGGTTCCGTCTGCACCAAATTCTACGTGGATGCTGTCTTCATTAATACAAGTGAGTTTCACTTTCATTTATTGTTGATAACAAAGTGGCCTGTAGATATAAGACCACTTTGTTATTGTTCATGAAAGAGGCTCTACAAAACTTTTGTCTATTTGCTTCACCAGAATTTTTAGATACTGAACCGCTAGTTGAGAGCTTTGATGAAATTATGAATGTTTTGCAACCCAAAGAAATCCTCCGATAATGAGGATGAGTTCAATTTTAATTCTGAGTTCAGGGCTCTTGTGAGTAAAAAGTTCACCCAAAAATGCTAATGCTGTCGATAATGAGTGAACACTTGTGTTGGCCAATTAGCTTTATGCAAATGAGACAGTCCCCACTCGCTTTCATTTATTGTTATTAATGCCAACATATTTCAGGTGAAGTGTAGCTTTAAAACTTGAATTAGGAGATAATTAGCTGAATGAGTGCCAAGCAACTCCAAGCCTTAAGTGCCAAGCCTTAGCCAGCTGCTTATGAACCTGCCGCAGAACCTTTCATATTCTTAATCCACTTTATGTTCTCCATCCATTAATGCCGTACTGCTATCCCCAGAACAAGTGTATATTAGAGATGAAACGATATTAAAATTTCATATCACTGTTATCATGACCAAAATTATCACGATTATCGGTATTATCGCGATATTGTTCAAATGTGTTGAAAAGTAAAATAAATTAAAAAAATAAATAAATAAATACTGATACACAAACTGAAACTCGTTTCATCAACTTTAAATTAACACAAATAGAATTGGCAGCAATATGCACTTTTTGTTTGCATAAACATTAAAAAAATATAGTCAATACATTTGTAGTATTACTTTTGTATTACTTACAATACTTGTAATACTCTGTAAACAAAAAAATAGCAAATGTATTATTATTACTGTTATTATTATTATTGTTACTGTTATCACTATTATTATTATTATTATTACTGTTGTAATTATTATTATTATTATTATTATTAATTACAATAACTATGGATTTCCCTGCGTAGAGAATTAAATCTCGACCAACTCTGAGATGGGTCTTAATGGAAAATGACTACTTCTAAGAAGTGCTGCACTCGGGGATTTCTGTCCGAACTGCATTTGCAGCATTATTGTGCCGCTGTGGCGCTGAACCCCTGATCAATACAGTGCACCAGGAAAAACAGCCAAAATCACAGAGGAATTGCGTGACCGCGCTGTGAGCTGCAGACAGTGTAGAACTCACACATGTTTTAGTTTTAAAAGCATTTTAAAACTGAAACATAACTTAAAATTAACGCGCATCTGAGCAGCAACACTCCTAAAGTTTAATCTCTGAAACTCTGCTTTTCCTAAAAGCAGCACACAGCGTTTACTCGCGCGAGGTCCCGTCTCAAAGCACACTATGTTCCCTATGTAGTGCACTTTGTGGATCATGAAATAGCAAATTCTTCACCCAAAGAGTGCAGGAAACGTTCGACTAAGTCATCTATAATCAACATTAACAACAGGCTACAAATTCCCTATTTAAAGCTCAGCTGCTTGTTAATGATGATCGTGTTTGTTTGAACAGTAGCGCACTATGTAGGGGTGATTTGAGTGATTTGAGACGGTGTTATTCTCTTCTCAGACAGTAAATGCTGCAAGTGAGACGAGAAAGGGGAGCTGTGCAGATTGAAATTCTGCAGCGTCTCGTTCCAGAGCTTGTGTGACTGTTAACTCAGAGCTCATTTTGGAGACTCTGCTCCACAGAAATGTTTGTTAAAAGCTTTAGTTTCGATTCACAGTTGATTCACCGATTGTTTTTTTTTGTTTTGTTTTGTTTTTTACGCTAAAAGCTTCATTTTATATTATTAATGAACCATAAACACAAGTTAAACCATGACATTTCTTCTATTTCGAAGTCCCCACAGACTTCTCCGTTAAAGTTAACCTTGCATTCTCTAAAAAGTAGTGGGTGGTGGTTGCGAAGATGACTCGTAAGGTTTGATGTGTTGCCCCCTTTCGCCGCTATTTTCTTTCAGCCTGTTCTGCAGACAGGGTGGTCATCTTCAATTAACTTTCCTTCTGCATCCTTATAAAACCCAAAATATGACCAAACGTCAGACTTTGTCTTCTTAGAAGGCTGAAATACCTCAGAATCTCTGTCACTACATTCCGCCATATTCTACCTTCTCTCCCTCTCCCTCTCCCCCCTTCCCCTCTACACACACACACACACACACACACAGACACAGAGCTGCATCTGAGAGATGATTCTGCCTTTGTTTGACTCTGTACAGCGAGTTTTTAACATTTAACGATACTTTAAAGTTCTAACGGTACTACTAACCATCATTAATTTTACTGCGGTTTACCGTGAAACCGGTAACCGTTTCATCTCTAGTGTATATATAGTATGTATAAGTCAGGCTGGCCTGAACAGCATTCTCCAGGCTTTAGATACTCATGGATTTTCTAAACGAATACTGGAATAGTCACTCTCAAAATCACTCTTAAAAAATAATCATTTTGAAGCATTTGCAGTCATTTGTCTGATGGAACAGATACACTTCTATTGTAATCCATGTTTCAGTTCACGCTAACTGTGCCAGACTGAGCACTGACCTTTTTTTCTTTTTTTTTTCTTGTAATTTAAAGTGCACCCGCACATGATTTTGTTACCGCCCACATTGAAAGTGGTGCAGTTTGTTGCGCTATACATATGTGTGTGTTCCACATAGCTGTTACTGTTCTATCTAATGATATTTGCAGATCATTTATTTTAGGCTGCTAATTCTTGTTAAAAAAAAATAAAGCTTTCAAATACTAAATATTAGAGATGCACCAAAACCACAACAGAAATTCAGAAACTGACTTTGTTTTTTAATATGTAAAACTTGCTTTGAAACTCCTGTCTAGCAGTTTCTCAGGCAGGGGGTGCTATTAGCTCACAAGCTGCTTCAGTGTTCATCGTTTAAAGAAAAAGCCAGAAACCTCAGCAGGATCTAGGAACACAGGTGTTTGCAGTAACAAACAAAAAAAGAATTTGAATATTCTTCATCTTCTAGAGGATGTATATCCTTTTTTTCTGAAATGAAAAGCAGTGGCATGACATTTGAGCTTTACATTATGTTTGTTGCATTTTATTCTGTGAGTTTATTGGTGGGTTTGATTAATGGCTGCCTGAGCCAGAGTCTTCCCATTATCTGATTACCCAAGTGCATATAAACACATTGAAAGAACTATTGACAAAATCTTATTTGCAGTAGAAGACATCTGGCCCGATTACTTTGTGCTTTGTCGTGTATGAGGCTCCATCTCTAAAAGCAGCTCAAACTGAGTTGTGTGTAGCTGTGAGGCGGAGAAACTCTCAGTTCTCTTCTCGCTAAGTGGAAAGCATTCGGTGCAGTGTCACAGTGTGCAAATTTCATGAGAAGCAAAAGAAGCTTATTGCCTTATTGAAGTTCCAAAAAATCACATCACGTCCGGTGTGTATAGTTTTGACTTGAAAAATAGTCTTAAAATTTCACATTTTTGTGTCATTTATTTGCATCGCATCCGGTGTAAAATGAGTTAAAGCTGCAATTAAGAACGTTCTGTGGTGTGTAGCCATGCTCAATTTTAAATACTGCAGGGTATATCTTATTACCACTATACTGCCCAATCCTATTGTTAAGTGTTTTATTTAATCTCTTGCTTTTTCAGCCAAAATCTTTAGCCTTTTTCTCTTTCTTTACCTGAAATTTTGGTTCATCCTCCTAAATACCTCAACAAATAACAACGAACAATAAACAAGGACTCAGGTAATTGAATCTATAGTGCCAGGCTTAGAAGCAAACAATGATTAGAAGTTTCAAAAATATTTTACAGTTAAGTCAATTTTCCAGCAATTAAGATATAGATTTGACATCTAGTTTAGCCAAAGAATATTCAGTTGGTTTGCAGTAATTTTCCTGTATATGGGAAAAGTCTTCATTGTCTGCAAGTCTGCATTGACCAGTTTTTAACTGTGTACCAACTCTGAATGTTAAACAGTGATTCAGTTCATAAAGCTTTCAGAATGTGAGAATCAGGTGGATATGATTATGGCTGCAATGAGAATCAGTAGGAACAAACCTAATGACAAATCGGTTGTACACTACCACTGCTGACATTTGGCCTATGTTCATTCAAGCCTCATTGCTCATATCCAATGTTTTGCTCAGATCAGATCTTTCTGCTTTGATGGCACACATTTGTGCATGTAAGTGGCACATTTCTGTTTTTAGTATGAAGGAACCTGTGCCTTGAAGCAACCCACATGCACACATCCTAATCAATAACGTCATGTAAATAAAGCATGTGTGTCATCAGCAACAACAAATAAATGAACTAGCAGCACAAGCTTTAATCATAAATTAAGGTCTTAATAGCTCTCAGCTGTTCATGATTAGGGAGAAGGTGAAAAAAGGCCAGATACATTAATGCTTTTGCAGTGTTTACTGGCTGAAAATTCAAGTTAAACCAAAATTAAACCAGCGGCCCCCACCTCAAGAGGTTTAGTGGTTAGGTGATTGTAAATAAAGATTAGATGAAGTGGAATTTAGCTTCTTATTCTCATTTCCCATTCCACCTTAAATGATGTAGCAGTTAAAGAAATTCGAATAAGAAAAATCTGCATGATGGTGTGAATCTGACATGACAAATAGTGCACTACAGTGTTTATTGCTTTTTTTCACAATTTTAATTCTTGAATCAAGAAGATGGACAACACAGGCAAGAACTCAAAAAAAACAGTTGGCACCAAGAACACACGAATTGAAAAAGCTACTTAAGAAGGATGAGGGCATATCCGAGCAGGTGGGCAGTGAGAAAAGATGTCAGGACCTTAATTTACCTTGCTATCATTAATGTGTAGCATATTGATGGTCTTAATGATGTCACATTTAAGACAAAAGCATTTGCCAGTTTTCATTTTATCACCTTGGTTATCTCAGCGAATCATATTAATAATAAATAAAAGATATGAGTAAGAAATAAAGAAAATAAAAACGCATTGATTCTAGAAATTTATGCACTGATTCTAGAAAGTCATTTTTGACAAAGGCAAGTGTATGTATGTGGGTGTGTGTGTAGAGTTTATGGTGGTTGGTCTGCATGTTAATCTCAGTCTGAAAACAGGTCCCCCTCCAGCCCTGAGTTGCTTGGCCATGAAATTCAGTTTGGGGACCACACATGAAAAAAATATATATGTGACCACAGAGCTCTGAAAACATCAGATCTGGGTCATGTCAATGCAGTCCGATGCAGACTGGACACTTTTGGACATGTTACTTTTTGGACATATTGCTGTCCATTATATCTTGAAAGAAATCACATTTTAACGTATTTATATGTATATATTTTTACCAAATGTGGCTTCCAAACTTTTGATATTAGTGTACACATAATACAGCTTTGCTTTTTAGTTTGGTAGCTAGGTTAATGTCATTTACATACATGCTCATGTGTAAACCTAATCTCCACCCTCAGACAATCTAAGCATCACCCCAGATGACCCGGGCTGGATTGGAGCGTGGTGGGGCGGCTTCCTCCTCTGCGGTGCTTTACTCTTCTTCTCCGCCCTCTTCATGTTCGGCTTCCCCTCCTCGCTGTCGGAGCGGCAAGAGGGTGGGACTGAGAGTGAGCAGGCCATGCTGCCAGCAGCTATGGCTCAGGGCTTTGACCGATCCAAGCCCAGCAATGGCATCCTGCGCAACGGCAACAGCGTGTCCTGCTGCGATCAGCTCAGAGGTGAGACCACTGTATACATTAACTCCTCACGAATATAGTACATGATATAGAGAATGAAACACAACGTGATCAATAATGAATAAATAAACCTGAATGAATGTGAATGAGGTCTAGGGACAATACAACATATCATACTGAATTATACAGGAAAGGAAATGCAAAGCAGGGATAGGCCAGGCCCATCTATTCATTTGAATCCTTTGTTATGTTCTGGGGTTGGGTTGTAGCCAGTGGCACAAGAAATGTTGTGGGGACAGAGGGAAGAAGGGATTCTACTAAATATTGACAAGTCCTGGAAGCTAATGTCCTGCAGTCAGTGAAGAAGAGCTTAGACATCACAGAAAGATGCTGATCCAAAACACTCATCAAAGTCAACCTTAAACTATTTCAAGAAATGAATGTTAAGGTTTTGGAATGGCCCAGAGGTGCCAAAACATTTACACACAACTTTGCATTTATAACCATAATCGTTATAAATATCTATAACTTGGACTGTATGCCTTCTGAATATTTTACAAAGTTCTTTAAAGATCCTTGAACTAAAGATTTATTGAATGTTTTTGTGATGCTGTTGTTCTCTGAGCTCAAGCTTCATACTTTTAGTTGTGGGAGGCCTACTAAGCACAGTCAAGTCTTCCAGCACTTGAGTGGGAAAATGAAGCCCACACATGAAGGTAGAAGAGGTGGCCTGATGTATGTACTGTATGTGTTTATCTAACAGCTGCAAACAAAAGGAAAATATTCATGAGTGCGTATCTTGCTGCATATCTTTTCCCCCCTACACAGCAGAAGCAGCACAGCCGGAGACTTGGAATGTATTTTTACATAACAGTTCTAGTACTCTAGTCGATAGCTTTATGGTGCTGTCTTTTTCATGGCCAAATTGAGTTATCCCTTGTTCCATAAATTTGGCTCTGCCTTTTTAAAACAGACCATAGCTCAAAACAATTCCTGAATGCACCTATGAGCTTTTGAAGCTGCTAATATTCTAGAGCAGATAAGCACTTATCTTCCTTTCCGTTTGTCCTTCATTGTTACATGAAATAATGGGTTTAATAAATGCCGTAGCTTTTAGGTAACAAGCACAGGGTCCATTTGAGCTTCTTCAAGAAAATGGACCAGAATAGACAGTCATTTCTGTTTAGAAGGGTTGTTGTGGTAACCACTTATCTCTCTCTCTGTCTCTCTGTCTTTCTATCCTGGCTCTCTTTCTCCTCAACCCAGTTATTCCCAAGGTGACCAAACACCTGCTGTCTAACCCCGTGTTTACCTGTATCATCCTGGCCGCCTGCATGGAGATTGCCGTGGTGGCCGGCTTTGCTGCCTTCCTGGGCAAGTACTTGGAACAGCAGTTTAACCTGACCACCGCCTCTGCTAATCAGCTTCTGGGTATGACTGGCACTTTACATACAAACATGCACATGCACTTTATATCTACAACTTCATTAAAGCGATAGTTTTAAAACAACCCACATTTACACAGATTTCTCCTTTTCCTCTTGTACATGTTTAGTGTCCAAATGAGGACCATTTTTCACTGGAAGTGAGAGGCTAATGTAGCTAACAAGGAGTGACACTTTCAGGAAAGCATGACCACTGCCTGCTCAAATTATACCAAATAATGTCTGAAAGTGAGCTCAATGGCTAAAACTGTCGACAAAACATTTTACATATGAAATCTAGAAAAAATATAAAGAATACAAATATAAAAATATAAAATCTTTGAAGAATTGGGACTTTCTAGTATCTTTTTGTTTTTTCTGTTTTGTGCAGAAGGATACTTCAGCTACTAAGCACTGCTTGGTGGGCCTCCTGATCAGCAGTGAAAGCAGTTTGCACTAATTGACATCATGATTGTAAATGAGGCACTGTTAAGTTATATAATTAGACTTCAAAAGCCTTCAAAAACATAATGGAAGTGCTGAAATATTTTTTGCTGTTCGATGTTACGAAAAGAAGCGTGTTCATCTGTATAGAAATATAAAAACTCCATGTGAAGTGATTCACTTTGGACCCTCTAGGGCACCTTCTAGTGTTTTATCAACCCAGAAGACATTATCAAGTGGCAGTATTCACTAGAATATTATCATTAGCATAGTGCAAACTGCATCCCACAACCACCACACTATTTGTCTCAGACCACTTCAAGCTGTCAAGTAATCTGAAATAGTCTTGCTTATAAGTTTGCCCAATCATGAAATTCTACCTGAAGATTCTACCTGAGTAAATGAAGATGATTAACAATATAACTTTTTTTTTCCAGAAAGTACAACGCAAAAGATTGGCTAATTATGCTTCCTAGCTATCAATACTTGGTAATTTCCAGCTATCACAGACAGATCTCAAGCTGAAATAAACAAACTTTACTCATCGCTACCCTCTAAAGGCTTTATAGCACCAAGTCAGATTTTAGAACATACGTTGTTTTCATAAGACCTGTGATGTGTCTCAATAAATGCATTTTCTGCCTTCTTTTATGTGCCTGTGTTCGCCTTAACCAAACTACTGAAAACTGCCCCAGTACACACTCTTTTTGTTGCGACTTAAACATACGATTCTGAAAATTGCGATCAGCTCAAATAATTGCGATCAGGTGATTTCTGTAATAATTGTAGCAGGTCTGCTTACTTTTGTGGTTTCTAATACTGTATGGTGTAATGTTATCAATAAAATTACGTAAACTTTCATTAGTTGTTAACTCCATTAGCCTTGTAGCGCCAGTGCAAAATTTCTGACACAAAATATGTTGGCTGATTGACTACATTTAGGCAAAAGGTTCATTTTGTGAACTGTCACTTTGAAGAAATGTAGTATGTGACCAGTGCAAATTGCTGATTCTGCCTCTTGCTGTGCAGGTATGACAGCCGTCCCGTGTGCATGCTTGGGCATCTTCATGAGCGGCTTGTTGGTAAAGAAGCTGAACCTCTCTGCACTGGGAGCTACTCGCATGGCTATGCTGGTCAACCTGATCTCCACCGCCTGCTACGTATCCTTCCTATTTCTGGGCTGTGACACAGGGCCTGTCGCCGGGGTGACCGTCGCCTATGGCAACGAGTAAGGAAGGCTAGGGCTACGCTCAGGTGGCTTTTTTCCCCTCCTCCTGCCCTTGTTTTTGTTTGCTTTGTTGACTTTTATGCGGTCATTGTCATGGCTGGGCTTTGAACCAAAAAAAAAAAAAAAGAAGAAAAAATCCATTTCAGAAGTGCTTTCTTACACTAAAAGAGCTTTATGAATGGGAAGCAGGTAGTAACACTCCTCGTAATTGCCACTCTGAATGTTCAGTAAGTATAGAAATAAAATCAAAGCTTTGACTTTTGTTGTGTGTGTGTGTGTGTGTGTGTGTGTGTGTAGAACTCTGCGACCAAACACAAAACCAGAAGCTGCGTGCATCAGTAACTGTAACTGCTACACATCATCTGTTAGCCCTGTGTGCGGATCCAACGGCATAACCTACCTGTCGTCCTGTTTCGCTGGCTGCAACAGATCCTTCAGCACTGGAGTACCTCCTCCTCTGGCTCAGGTTATTATTCTTCTCATACACACCTCACTCACACTTAACGTGTTCCTCCCTCTATCCATCTCTGCTGTGCTTTCCTACTGTATCTGTCTTCATCTTTCAAGGCTACATGTGTAATTTACTGTTAAATATCTTTTTTGCTGCTGATGAAAAGAATAGCTTGTACATAATGGCTGTTTTGACTGGAAATTAAATAAATGAAGGGTTGTATCTGAATTTTACATAGTGTTGTATTAATAATACTCAATGTCATGTAATTAAAGATTGAATGATAAAGATTAAATTAAATGATTCTGAATTTTCAAATATTCAAATAGTTATGAAAGATTGAAAAAATGAATAGTAAATTAGATTTTGTTTAATGCAAATTAGCTTCTCTCTAATATTACATATTCACATATGGAATAACCATGAGATGAACTCTATATTCCACTAGAGGACTGTGTAGAACCTGAGTCTCTGGGTGTGGTCAGATTTTTTATCTATTTAGTGCAAAGAAGGAAGCATAGAAGTTCTACAAGAGCCTCATAAAGGCCTCTGCACACCGAAGGGGAAGCGCCGCACCGGCAGAGCGTCTCTGGTGCTGGGTAACAGACAATGCAGCTAGAGAAGCTATAGCACATAGGAAGCATCACAGTAAAATGCAGATAAAAGACTCTGCTCATATATATTTAAAGGTATAAAAAAATAAATATCGTAGTGAGTTTTTCAGGTCTGGCATCAGCTAACTCTTCGTAAACTTGTTGTTTTTGAGCTAAAAATTATGAGGTGAAAACAGACGATGAGCATATATCTTATTATCTTACTATGTACATTTTTTTTTTTGTTAAAACTGAAATAGCATTACTGAGTCGGGAGACAAACACACTAAAATATGATGTCCATGTGCTGTTCAATGTCATGAAATAATTTAAAAGTCAGAGGAGTCCCAAATGCAAAATCAGCATTATACTGATGAAGATATGACAATAGTATATAATTAACTTACATCCTCAGAAGACACGTCCTTTAACACATTCTGACTGAGTTCTCTTTGAATAATCTTTCAACGCACTCGCAAATGTGTAATTCATCTGCACATTGGGGTCTAATACTCAGCTGACTTTACAAAATGTTCTTCTGCAATTACATATTTTCAAAGAGGTCTCCAAATCTCTAAGACTTTCACAATGTAGCTTTGTGTGTGTGTGTGTATCTGTGTGTGTATCTGTGTGTGTGTCTGTGTGTGTGTGTGTGTCTGTGTGTGTGTGTGTGTGTCTGTGTGTGTGTGTGTGTGTGTGTGTCTGTGTGTCGGTGTGTCGGTGTGTGTGTGTGAATTTTTCCTGATAGTCTGTCCATTTATGAATGTCTCACTCTCTGTATTCTGTATCTCTCTCTCTCCCCTGTGAGACATATGTTCTGAGCTCAGTCTGCCTCATGCACTCAGTGCAGCTGGCTTTCAGAAAAGGACACGTTGTCCTGCACTGAGCATTTTAATGGGCTCCTGCAATATGGCATCCTGCATACATTAACATACAAAGTGCGCTGCTGTCTACAGCAATGAAGGACAAACGCAACAATCCCCACACTCTCCAGTTATTGCAATTCAACACCAGTTCCCAACACGCATGCACCAACTGCTGTGTTCAGTGCAGAGACTGAGTGTGTGTAATCTCCACTGGTTCGGCACTTTGGTTAAGGTGTTTCCACTGTTAAGTGTTACTGATAAATATTCATCACTGTGGGTGTAGCCTTTTACAGTGGAATTTCTAGGTGCTATTTTCTAATGTTACAGTGTTTCTTGAGTATTCACTCCAGGCCTGGCTTTAGATGGATATTAAGTGACTATCAAAGATATAGTTGGAAAGGGCATTACGTATAATATATTATTGAATACAGTTGGCATATCATTGCTGTCATTTATAACTGAAGTTTAATTGAATTAAGAGTTTGATTCCAAAATGCCAGAATATCCATTTGTAACTTTTTGAAAACAATAACAGCTGACATATAATGGAAAACACAGAATTTTTTTATTTGACTAATGAAGGTGGTGCTTATCATAATATAGCATTAATATTTATTTAATGTGTAAAGCACTCTCGCAACAATGGTATACCATGGGGGGAAAAAAATCTTGAAAGTGATCTGTGACACTTTTGGAGCGAATCCTTTCAACTATCGTTGTCTTTGTGTCTCAGTTTTTTTTCCTACATCCTTTGAACACAGCAGCTGCCCTTTACATTGTATCATATATACTTGTATATGCTTGTTTTTTTTTGTTTGTTTGTTTGTTTGTTTGTTTTGTTTTGTTTTGTTTTTTTGGACAGTGGTGATATATTAATGGCAACATGAACTGCCTCTGTACTTTATGGCATATGTTTTAATAGATTATTTCCTCTCTAACCCAATAGAACCTGACCGGATGTGCGTGCATTTCTGGTGATGGTGAGTCACCCATAGCCGTGCCAGGGAAATGCCCGACTCCCGGCTGCCAGAAGGCCTTTCTCACCTTCCTTTGTGTGATCTGTGCCTGCAGCATGATTGGAGCCATGGCTCAAACACCCTCCGTCATCATCCTCATCAGGTAACAGAGCTTCTGCCAGCTGCTCACACTGGGGATGAGGGATGTGTGCAGCAAGTCTGTTTTGGCTTCCTTACAATTGGAATACAAGAGGATCTAGACAAGATGCTTTGTGTACACATTTCGTACTTGTAGTGAATAGACTGCAGCCATTGCCCTGCTGCTCTTATGCTAGTTTGCTAATCCGGCCAATATAAAGGTTTAACAAAGCATTGGTGTTCTGGATTTTGTAGCTCAATTCAGTTCAGTCTAATTACATTTTATTTGTAAATATTGGTAAAGCAGACATTGATAAAAAGCAGCCTTACCGCAGCCAGTATTGCCTAGATCAGACTCACTCCACACACACAACAGACCTCAGTAAACTAAAATAGGACTTAAATGGGAAGAACTGCAGTAGAACTAGAGTAAGAAGGAACAAATGTACATTGCACATTTTCTTACTATAAATGCTTTATATAAGCACATGTAACTCATTTTTTAATGGCATGATAGTGTCAGGATGTAATTTTATTTTTCAGCATTTAGTGTGTCCACCTTTGTCTTTATTTCAGCTTCCTTTTCAGGATATTTGCTTTCAGTTTTTCAAAGAAAACCTGCAGGATATTTTTGCCTCCAAAATTCAGTCTTAGAAATTGGTTGCATTTTCTGCTTTTCACAATCCAAATAATACTAATTACAAATTACAGTTACCTTACTCCACATAGCTTCTTGACAGTTATACCTCCTTTCAGACTCTCAGTGCGTTGAGTTGTTTTCTCATAGTGGAAAGATTGGAAGGACTTTTGGATTTTTTTCAGATCTGAAGCTTGCTTTACACCTCTTGCTCAAAGATGAAAGCTATAAGTGCTGTTTATCTGATGATGACGGTTTTGGTGGCCTGCCAGGTTTTGCACAGTTGTTTTCCTTTGACTTTCCCCTTTTTTATGAAAGTATAAATACAACTTGGGTGTAATCTCAGAAATATCTTAGATGCACATGAGAATGAAGTTTGAAGGCAGCTAGGGTGTGTTTGGGTAGTTGCTTGGGTAAATGTTGGCGTCTCTTCAGAAGATCGGAAGAATGGAAGTGCTAAAGTGGCAGAAAAATCATGCAAAAAAAAGCGGGAACAAATTAAATACTGATAAATTTAATGTTATACTTAACGTTAGGCTTTCTTGTCATTTTGTGTTAAAACATTCTCATTCTTTCTACCCCCTTAGGACTGTCAGGCCAGAGCTGAAATCATATGCTCTCGGTGTTCTGTTTCTCTTACTCCGGCTGCTGGGTAAGACACATGAAATGAACACCACTTACAGCAACAGAGCATCTCTCATCCACTGATATCTAAAGAGCAACTGATGTTTTAAATCTGTTTTATTAATGCCCTGGAGGCTCTTCTAATACATTTGGATTTATGTAATGGTCTATTAGTGTAATGTTATCCTCCACTGCTAGCTACACCCATGGTAATCTCCTTAGCATTTATTATACCTGTCAAATGATCCATGATTGCTTAACAATGTTATTATCTTGCAGGATTCATCCCTCCGCCTTTGATCTTCGGTGCAGGGATCGACTCTACATGCCTGTTCTGGAGTACGGATTGCGGGTCCAGGGGCGCCTGCATACTGTACGACAACGTGGCATACCGGCACCTGTATGTGAGCCTGGCCATCGTGCTGAAGGTCATCGCCTTCCTCCTCTACACTACCACCTGGCAGTGCTTGCGCAGGAACTACAAGAAGTACATTAAAAATAACGACGCCTACGTGACGTCCACTGAGATCTTCTCCGCCGACATGAACCTGGACAGTCTGGGCAAGGACATGGGCCTGAACCAAGTCAACAGGACACAGTTTATATACAACTTAGAGGACCACGAGTGGTGCGAGAACATGGAGTCAGTTTTATAGTGGCCAGAACAAAGCCACTGCTTGACGCATAAATATAGTTCTTTTGAAAGATCACCTATCTGGTGTTCATTCTTTTTTTTTTTTCTTGTGAAAGATAGAACTAAGATAGTCGGAAGGGTGACATGTTTAAGGTCCCTATGGCCACCATAGAGGACCGTTGCACTTTTACCCTACATGCTAATCGTTCGGTTGGGTCCATGTCGTTTTTAGAAGTCATGTCAAAGAGGCTGTTCATCCAGTGCCAGTGAACTATGTTGTGCTTGTTAGTCGAAGACATCTACTATACTCTCCAGCTGCATCCTCTGCTGCTAACAAGCTGGGCCTAGGCTAACGATCCATTAGTGGACATCTTTCATGGACGCAGTTGCGAAAAATGACCAGTTCTGCATTTCCCATTACTTGAAAGGCATTGAAGTGAAACTGAAGTTCCGTGAAATCTGTCATCAGTTGTCCAGTTCTTTCTTCTTTAGGCAAAGAAGACAAAAGAAAAAAACAACAACAAAGCCGTTATATTAGGTACATTTTCTGTGTTTTAGGCACGGATGAGAACCGTCATTCACTCTTCTTGTCTTGGTGTCTGTTTCGTCTCGGTAGCGGAGAAACTTTCGACGACTTCAATATCCGCACATATCGTGTTAACGTTGTGGCCAAGAGACTTCTTTTGCAATAGAAACACGCTCTACAGCTCTATCATGAATTTCATATCACTTTTTATAGCTGCATTGTACCAAGCCAATATCAGTCTTTCTCAAAACATTTGTTTGAGCTTCAAGGTTCTTTTGACGGATGTCCTTTTCCTAGTAGGCGCTTTATACTGTTACTATGTTATTCTGCATAGTTTATTAAGCCCAAAAATGTCTTAATTGTTTGAAACAGATATGTTAAATATCTACACTGGTGCAATAGTTTGAAGGTGTATTTGAAAAAGCCAGAGTTTGAAATTAAGTAATAATTGTTCATTAACTTCTATTTGTCATTATTATTTTTTATTAGAGCAAACTATTTTGTTTGAGGAAAAAAAAAAATGAGTTTGTTTTCCTTGTCAATGCGACAATGTCAGGTTGCCTAGATGAACATATTGATGTGTTTATGATTACAGGATTACTGTAGATTATATGAATATATGGAATATGGAAAAAGAAGAAAGCATGAAGTGGAGATAAAGCAGAGAAAGCAGAGGCAGGACTTTGTCTTAAAGTGGCAGTGATTCTGAACCTCTGTTCATGCAGTCTTGCTCATTCAAACTAGTCCATGTTGTGGTCAGGCAGAGCTGTCTAGGGCTCCTCCCTGGGGGCAAAGAAATCTGACTTCACAGATATTGAAGCTGTTTTGGTCAAGACCTCATTATACGAGGAGCCTGTTAGGCAAGACTAAAGGGACTAGAATTTATCTGATTGAATTTTTGTTTTCAGCCAGAAAGTGAACTCAGTACTTATCTAGCTAATCCAAATTGATCTGAGAAAAGCCCATCTAACATCATTTAAGCTTTCCCTTAAATGGGAGTCATTTCTTTTGCCATTTTTAGGACCAATCAGCATGATGCATTTGACAACGAGGTGGTTCACTTAGTGGCATCGACTAAATAAAAAAAATAATACAAAAATCAGATATTGAGCTTTTTCTCAGGGTCTCTCTTGAGATCCCTACATACTCAAATAGTTCACTACTGGGGAATTACTAACTAGGGCAGACCCCAGGCTTTAGACTGAGCCCCACTTTTAGAACATTTTCTAGACAAAAGAGCAAAAAAGAAATAATGTATTCTTTACGATATAGAACGTGAAATCAGACTCACTGCAGCTTTTGAAGTCTGTTGCATCTGCATGTGGAAAAAAAGCCATGGTATGAGGATTTTTGTTTTTTGCTTGAGAGATTTTGATGCCAGATACTGATGCATACAGGTTATCCCTTTTGAATGAAACTAGTCATATGATTGATATAAACTGTACATCATTGAAAACCTATTTAAGGCTTAATAGCACACTCATTTTGTTTTACTGATAAAGGTCTCTCTGCAGTATAAGCATAAGTAGGATCCTTTTCATATACTTTTTGTATGGCAGATAACTTTTATTTTATTCTGCAAATAAATTATTTTTTAGAAAACGCTCTGGTTTCAAGACTGGTGTTATTAAGCGGTTATTTAAATGAGGGAAAATTCGTTTTTCACGCACAGAAGTGCTGCATGAGTTATGATATTAACAGACCTGCCAGCTTTGAAAAAATATTTTGCATAGCACAGTAGTGTAATGCTTAAAAAAAAACACTTAGCACACGGTCATTTCCCCACTCACCAGCAGATAGTCAAGTTTAGTTATTCAACAGGGTCTGCTGTTCTCTCTCCCCCTGTCAGTGTCCTCATCTGATGTCAAGTTTATTTTAACTCTAAGGTACGAATACCCACACACACCTTCCGGTAACTTTCTAGGTAATGTTATTTCTGTGGCCCGTGCACTCGCTTTCTTTCATCCTGCCATGATCTGCCTTGATCTGCCCCTCTTATTGCAGTTAGTTTGGCTGCGGTAATAACAAAGGACAAAACAAAGGAGTTAAAAGCACCGTCCTCCCAGCAACACGGATTGAGGAGGGCAAACGAGAGGGATAAAAACTATTTCATGTTGTTGTTGATTTGCAGTCTGTTGAAATGATTGACATTACACATATATACATAGACACCACATTGGCTGCTTCGGTCCATTGCTGTGATACATCACTGCATCTGCCATATTGGTCCAGGCAAGATTGGCCTGTAAAGAAATGCAAATAAATGAGGGAGCTGCGAATTTTCTGGATAAAAGGCACTACAACGTTTGCATTTCTCCACTGATTTCAGTGAATCGTTTTTATATTCAAGGGTTTATGATCGACATGGAGTACAAGAAGAGTTTTGTCTCCAGGTACTTTGAATACCGATAGTTATAATTGCTGCTAGACATTGAAGAGAGGAGTGTGTATCAGCGTTAGGCTTACATAAACTGAATTACTAACATGGTGGAGGATAATTCATTGGCGTAAGGAGTTGCAAAAATTCACGTTTGTCAAGTATGGATTTGGTTTATTTTCCCTGGTTAGTACTTGTGGAACGAGGTTGAAGTTGGCTTCTCACTCCACTTTTCAGTTCCACCTTAAATGATGCAGCAGTTTCCTTATAAGTGTGCCAGTACTGGAGTGTAACTGCAGTGCCATTTAAGGTGGAACGGAATATCTAAATAAGAACCTGGCGAATAGAAAGCCAACTTCATTTTTCTGTCTATATCCCCATCGTTTTTAGTTTTTCTTCTGCTCCTGATCTGAACACAGTTAATTCACTTTGAAAAGCTGGAAAAGAATGAGTGCATCTTTAAGTTCTAATGATTGACTCACTGACAGAAAAAAACTTGCCTTCTTAAAGCTACTTCCCACTGCCTTTTCCATGCTTTCTCATCAGGAAACCTTCAAAGCCTTTGAAGTGTAAGAAATGTTAGCTAGCTAGCCGACTAACTACAGTAAGATTCATAATATGTTAGTTGTTAAGCTGACCTGAGTAGCTTATCATAAAAATCTGTTGCCAATATAAAAATGAAAAAACAAATGCTAATATAGATGAAAATCTTAATTCTGGGCAATCAAGTTTATATGATTTCTTATAAAGTCTCAGCTTTTACAGCTAGCATTTATAGCATTATCACCAACATAAACTAATAGTCTGACTGGCCAACTAGTTGGCTCTTAACATAATGTTATAATGGTCAAATGCAACCAAAAATAGCTGTTCAGTCTAACCTGTGAAAGATGATTCCTAGAGATCTGGTTTGGATTGTGTGACTGTTTGTACAGCACTAAGCTGCACACGACTCCGGCATCTTTTTTTCAGTTCAGTCTTCAGAGAGTTATAATAAGTTAACTGGACCAATATGGCGGCAAAGCTGACACACGATCCAGCGTCCAGTGCGGCATCTATGTGTTTATGTCTGTTAGTCATCACTGCTTGTATTTTAGTTAATGAATCTGGTGCCATGACTGGTCGAACTCTTCCTCTTTTGTTTTTCAGAAGGCTAAACGCTGCTGCCTCTTGCTTTTAGAACTGAGCCTTGCTCATGCACAACTGAACTCTCAGCCGTCATCAGCTTTTTGTGTAGCTTAGAGGAACAAATCATACGAGCATACTTTGATGTCAAAATGCAAACAAATTGCCAGATTTGTTTTAGCAATTGAAGCCAGATTTACTCCTACAGTTAAGTCAGTTGTTTGGAATCACAAACATGCCTCTATTTTATCAAAGACAAAAATAAAACACTGATATTAAATGATAGCACATATAAGGTATGACTCTCTGTTACTATGTTACTGCTCCAGGTGTAAAACATACTAAATTCCTCAACTACTAATTTGTTTGACTTCAATCTTTTAAACTCCTCGGAACCACCGGTGGTTCCAAAACGCACTTTGTCATATTCTACATGACTTTCATATTTCATAAGCTACATTCAAAAGGTGGGTGTCGTATGAGAGCTGTAACTGTCTTCTTTCCAGTCAAATAGATGGGTGATGTAATTTTAAACCCTTATAATAAAAGAAGCTGAACTCACAAATCTGGGCTATAAACTATAAACTGACGGTGTCTCTTCAGTGATCTGCTCTGTAAAAATTATTTTTAAAAAATAATACAAAGAGCGTCTAAGATTTTTGGCTTTCAGCAGTAAATTGTAAGCATATAGCAATATGTGTACGATCATAAAACACATTTTCTGTTAATTTGAGGGGAAATTTTACAAAAAAATAAATAAATAAAATAAAAATTTACATTTATTTCATGCAGGTACTGAATAATTTGCCTTACGATTCGGTCATGTGAATTCAAATGGAAAAAACCAAAATATACCCTGGAGAATAAGAGGTTAAACTCCTGTTTGTTTTAATTTCACATACATGTCATCATGGGGTACTTTTTCAAAAAGGTAATCCATTACAAATAATTGATTACTTCTCTTAAAATGTAATGGGATTACTTTACTTAATACCTCCCGGAAAAAAATGTAACAACTGGAAAGGGAAAATTCATTCACAGCGTAACAGTGGATATGCACTTTGGGATGCAAAATTGAACTCCAGGAACCTGGATATCTCAGTCCTGTCACCTCATCAAAGTTGGCAACCCTGGTATTATAATGTGATAGTATGAGATAAAAGGGCTGTTTACCCTTTCTTTAGGTCAACTTAATATCAGTCCATTAACTCTCACAGATAATATCAAAATTAGAATGCAGTTCTTGAGCACTGCTTCATGATGTTTCAACGGATCCCTCAAAACTTCAGCAGGTGGCCGTCTACATCATTGTAGGACTTGTTTTATTGGTTTTATGACACTTTTGTCCGTTATTTGCTGAGGCGGCTAAAAGCCGCCAATAATGTCGGTCAGTGGCTGGAATTTTGAGAACCCCAAATTCTTTCATTTCAGAACTCACTATCAACTCATCTCACTAATCCCAGCATATTCCCTCCGACCTCTCTAAAGCAACCTGCTGTGTTATATATTATCATATAAAGTGGTTTGCATTATTTAACTGTAGAGCGCTCCAGCTGCCACAACACAGAATATCATTTGAGCCATTTTGTTCTCAAAGTTGGGCACTTTCTAGCTGTTAGGTCACTTCTAGTGCTCTTGGCTGAACTCCCACGCTGCAGCCTTGTTTATTGAATTATTTTGTGCAGTCTTCTCAGCTGCTTGGGAAATATTGTGTAATTTGTTCTGGTTTAAACTGCAATATTCTTACAGAAACCTCACTTCACACTTTCCTCAACCAGCGTTAATTCATGGGTTTTTAAAAAACAGCTCCAAGTGCTGACTGAGAACAGACTGTTCTCAGATGGAAGAAGAACACTGGTGATGCTCAGGCACATTCACCTTGTTGACCACATGTGCGCTCTGTGGCTCTCCAAGATGTGGTCATGTTTGTTTTTACTAACTTCAGTTTTGAGCACAATACTTACAAAATATTACAAAATCTTTTTATTAAGGTATCTCATGGATCGATAAACAGCTCTCCAGATGTGTTAATACCAACTGTGACTTAGATCTTGGCCTTCAGTTAGAGCCACAAATGTCAAAACTTGGTCAAAACATGAGGGGGAAAAATCACCTCTACGATCATGCTGATTTCTGCTAGCTTCCCTATAGAATTAGAATAGTTTGATGCAGTAAGCTAACCGCGATGTTAAGATTTTTTTTTGAATCTTCTAAAAGACATTTCATGTTTTACTTGAAGCTTGTGACAGACATTAGCATGTAGTTCACCATGTAGCAGTTTGACTGTGACTCTTTCAGTAGTGAGGCTGGTACAGAGCTGCCGCTGCTGTTTTCCATTTCTAACAACCCAGTGATTAGGCTGTCACTAGTATTAACAGTCAGTGACTTCCAGAAGGCCTAGAGCGTTTTTTTCTCTCATGCAATTGGTCCAGCCGCTTGGAAATTAAAACGTGATTGGTTGATTTTCTCTGTCACTTTATAATGATGCTGATAGTTAATCTGACACATCAGGCCTCAGCTCTTGGAGTCATAACCAACAGTAGAGCGAACTTTGCTATATCTGTCTAGATACCACACCGAAAAATAAGCCCTGATTAGATTTTTTTGCTCAGTTTTTGAAGAATTTAACTTCCATTTTTTTCCATATGGAATTGTTTGACTGTAACAGTGAAAAAGAGTAGTATTGTAATACTTGCAGAGTAAATATAAGCTTGATTCTATTAAAAAAAAATACAGATGCGTGTTTTTTGTTTTTTTTTTAATTCCCAGAAATCATTAGGCTTTCTCAGGCTGCTATATGTAGCAGAAGAGGAGGAGTGGTCAGAGTCTGCTGAAGTTTTCAATGTCCTTGTTCTTCACTGACTGTATCTCTGTGTATCAGGCTATTTGCAATATGCAGCTAAGAGTTTCAAAATGTTATAAAAGTAGCTGGGCATGTTATAGTTAACTTTAGCTTGCTAATGTTAGCTACAGGCCTGGGCAACGTCTGAAACAATTAGCATATTTTCTTGTTAAAATATCAGGATAACTACCTTAATATAATATTGAGTAATGCAACATCTGTTGTTAATAAACTATTTCATTTCGTTTTGAAACTTGCAA